AGACATTCTAAAATGGTAAAGTATCTCCTCTTACAAGGCATGGGGGATATCAACAAGGTGAAGTTAATAGATGTACAATGCAACAGTACGGTGGACTAAATGGGATTGGGTGGTCAGTCTCCCTGATTCGGCAGATGCATGTCACTGTATCCCAATTGCAAAGATCGAAACAAAGAATGTAAGAAATATGTGGTAATATTTAACGCAAAAACATTCTGTTAACTTGTTTGAGTGACATTTTAGAAGTTGGAACGTATAATATTGAACAAATTTATGGATTTTATGCATTATCACTTCTTTATTTCGTGAGTGCGACGGTTCTTACAGAAGTTGCTATTAATAAAGTTTGTTCAATAAAACACATTGTGGAAATGAACGATCATGCTTCCAATATATTTCCGTCAAGTGTATTTTTGCCCTCTTGATGTGACGTGCGTGCGTGATAACGTCTTGCATAGAGCTGATTTACACACTAATGACAGATGGGAGCTTGCTATCTGAAGTTGTCATGCAAATGGTATTAGGAATATTGACAAGTATATTCTGAGTACGCTTGAAAACTGGTTTCGGGTTTCATAGTTTTAATATTTTAAAATCATAAATTCTGTCCAAAGGCGTATTGTAGATAACCAATCAGTACATTTTACAATGAAATGCATTGTATTTTTGATTATGCTGATTGATGAGAAAACTGTGTCTATAAATATTATACTCTCAGTATATACATTAAAGATTCAATATTCTCTATTTTCGTATTGGGGACAATGACTTTTTAAGTCAAACAGTGTTGTATATCTATCCAATGTGATTTAATGCTTAATCTATGTAAAAGGGTCAAGATAACCCCAATCTTGTCAAAACTCCTTCATCTGTAACTTTTATACAGCCGTTGCTTATACATCTTCTGACATCACTTCTATTAGAATTTCACTTTATTAACAAGAAGGGTGTTTATGGTAATATGAGTGTATTTCAATTTCATGATATGAATAGCAAGTAGAAATCGTCCTCTCAGGATACTCATTTAGCGCCGAGCGCCCGACAGAGTGATTAAAAACCACTTTTGATATAACGAATGTCATTGAACATTTTATTCATGTGAATTATTTTTCATTTAATTCAATAAGTTTTAAAAGCGTTAACAGTCTTTCGCCACATTTCATAGGTGGATTGAAGAGGCGTGATATCACCATTCATATAAAAATGCCTCAACTCGATGAAATGACAAATTGAAGGGACGTAACTCTGTAAGGACTATGCTCGTTTTTTGTCCAGTTCAAACTTCGCTTCGCTCGTCACGCCGAAGACCCGGGTTCGATTCCCCACATTGGTACAATGTGTGAAGCCAAATCTGGTGTCCCCCGCCATGATATTGCTGGAATATTGCTAAAAACGGCGTAAAACCACACTCATTCACTCACTCAAACTTCGCCTTGGTTAGATCTGCTTCATTTACTTGTATTTCTGGAAAAATATTCTTCGGAATTGTTTATATTATTATTTAATGCAACTGTAATTTGAATTGTCACCGATAATCAACACTGTCAGTTTCAAATGATATAGGGGCGGTGGGGTAGCCTAATGGTTAAAGCGTTGGCTCGTCACGCCGAAGACCCGGGTTCGAATCCCCACATGGGTACAATGTGTGAAGCCATTTCTGGTGTCCCCCCGCCGTGATGTTGCTGGAATATTGCTAAAAGCGGCGTAAAACCAAACTCAGTCAGTCAGTCAGTCAAATGATATATGTATACGTTCTTTGTTTACCGCACCACTCAGCAATAATTCAGCGTTATGACGGTGGTTTGTATACATTCGAGTCGCGGCCAGTCAGTCCAGTGACTGATACCAAGGGCATTGATCTACGTAACGTTGATACCGTGACATGCATCAACCACCGCGAGTGTGGTCGCCTGATCACGTTTGTCGCATCTTACGACTGAACAGGGGCCTTTGCCCTTGCAGTGGGTGCCATACAGCTGTTGTTTTGAGTTAAACCACAACCAAACGGTTGAAAATGTTGTAAAGGTTGATATTGTGTCAATTAGGTGGTTTCTCATAGCGACTGGCTCGGTGAACTTCTGTGTGGTTTAACAATGCTATGTCGTGTCACCCGTTAAGAATTGATCTTCAGCAACCCATGCATGTCTTAAGATGCGGGATAAGGTGATCTCATGTCATCGTATCCCATCTGTGTAAATTCATGGTCATGCTGTTGGTCAGTGGATTGTCTGTTCCAAACTCTATTATTTACAGACTGCCACCATATAGCTGGAATATTGATGAGTGCGGCGTAAAACAACAAACAGAGGCTTTGTATGTGTACATTTTGTCACAGCCTGTTAGACCAAGCAGGTCTTGACCGTTTACAAATAAACTGACGAACAGAGATCTGTATACACAATCAGGTGAAACCGAGATTCGAACCTACGAAAACACTTCCTAAAGATACACACGCGAACATGAGACATACATGAGTTGATGTACTGTGCACAACATTAAACTGTTGAATAAAAGTTATTTGAAAAGTTATATAAATAACCCAAACCATACATTTAGCAAAGCAATTTGCATGAGATTTGATATCACGTGTCGCGCGTGGCACGTGCACTTTGTGCACAATGATCTTACTCACTATTTGCATGTTTTTACACCTGAAGTTCACACATATGATACAGAAAACTGAAGAACGGTTAATTATTCTCTTACCTTTGAATGTTTTAAAACACACGTTAATGTCAACTTAAAATGCGCGTACGTCATGTCTTGGTTATGCTGGAGAATTGCCCAAAATGAAGTGGCCAGACATTTTGGTGTCCATCAAACACAATCCCATCTCTATGGAGACGTTTTCTACCTTATTTAAATTTGCCTCGGATCGGCCGTCTACGCGTGACGTCATAGTTTGGTGGCGGATTCGTTATGGTATTGGGGTGGGGGGGGAAGGGTCCTCTTGCGTCAAGCCCAGAATCAACCATTTATGGTAGAAGAATTGGGAGAAGCGTTATTTCAAATATAGAACAACATTCCCTAAGCTTTCTCCAATCGCTTAGTGTCGTCTTTGCGTCGTCGCTGTCAAGCCTGCATCAATAGAGGACACACACGATACTTAATCTCTGAACTGATTTTTGACACCACATCTCTTCAAGGGCGTGACACGACGCCTTATGTCAAATTACACAGATTTCGATGTTATCCTCAACAGTTAAACAGTGATTACGGAAAACACCAGAAAACATATTTTTATACTTTTGCATTAAATAATGGCATTACATAATGCACGTAGTTTATAATGCACGTAGTGTTGTACAGCAAACTTAAGGATCTAGACAAATGATTCTGTGGAACGTTCAAGGATAACATAACGTTCATGTATGATAACAGTTACAAAATGGATGTTTCTTTTTTATGTGGTATTTTTTGCATATCTGCATTTCACCACCACACTAATAGAAAACCACTGATCTGTGCAAGACCGTAACAAATGTTTAATGTTGTTAATTGAATTACCACACAAAGTCGTCAAAAGTGATAAAATCAAGTTTGTTTTAGCTTTCTGGAGCTTCTTTCACGAAGCAACCTTTACTAAGGTTAACCTTAACTCCCATTCTTTAACATTGCACTAAGGTTACCTAGTTACTTACGATCACCTTAGTGCTTTGTGAAAGGAGGCCCAGGTTCGTAAAAACTACCAGCGTGATGGAACTCATTTTAAACATATCTATTTATCTCAAAAGGAAAGCTTGGGACATGACTCTCATACAACACTATGAGTATGCCTTTATTCGCAGAAGGGGTCTGTGGAGTAGCCTAGTGATTAAAGCAATTCGATTTCCTACATGGGTACAATGTGTGAAGTCCATTTCTTGTGTTTCCCGCTGTGATATTGCTGGGATGTTGTTAAAAGCGGCGTAAAACCATACTCAATCATTATAGACAGAATAGTACGCCGTTCACGGCACGTAGATCCACGAAATAAAAATTAACGGTTCATAGCACTACTACCACACGTTACTGAACAATACAAACAATTCATAAACCACCCTGTTAAAGCTTTTGTCATTGTGAATACATATAGCTTTTGTCATTGTGAATACATATAAATGTATCCTGAGACCTATGAACTCCAAAATCATCAAAATATAGAATATAGTAACATTCACATCACATTACATTAGACAATTGTTCATTCGGGGCGGCAGGGTAACCCAGAGGTTAAAGCGTTCACTCGTCAGGCGGAAGATCCGGGTACGATTCCCTACATGGGTAAAATGTATGAAGCCCATTTCTGGCGTCCCACGTCGTGATATTGCTGGAATATTGCGAAAAGCGGCGTAAAACCATACTCACTCAAATGTACATTCCTCACAACAGACAAAACACAAGGTTATGAAATTCGATTGAATCTTAACAAAAATAATGTTATACATTTGCGACAGTCTGTAACTATAAATTACACTGATATACATCAGTAATCCAACAAACAGGTATTTGCTTTTTGGGAGTTTTAAATCTAACAGTGTAGCCTGTCAGAAATGAATGAAACATATATCATTAACAAAACTTTATTAGTAACAAGTAAAAATGCATTGTAAACATATATATATATATATATATATATAGTAACTACCAAATAAACAAAAAGTGGGAGACTTGATGTAAATATACAACCTCCACATGGAAAGTCTGGAAAAGTAAAGGCATGTAAATATTATGTAAAATGGACAATTGCTTGAAACGTCCATCTGTTCTCTTGACCAGTGCTTCACTCACAGCCTCATTCTAAATACTGTTTATGTGCACATAAAATAAAATATGAAAAAAAGTTATATAGTGCCAAGTCAAACTTCTGCTATGTCCCTCATACAAATGAGAATAACTCTCTCGCCTCCTCCAAAATCACTATCATGCAATCGCACTTGTATCCGCACTTCTGAAATATGTATTTCCTCGATCTTCACTTGCTTATGGCTGTCTGCAATATTTTTTACTATAACTCTATATTTTGTTTCAGGTTGCATATGTGAAAGGTACCGATTTTACTGTGCACACATAGCATAAATGTATATTTGGACTTGTCACTACAGACGAGACAGTGATGATTAAGTGGTAAATGAAAGTAATTTCACTCGAGCTTCACTGACGGAATCATGAACAGTGTTTAACAGCAAGAGTTTATTCAGTCCTAGAAGTAAGTCCGAACACGTCCTTGTATTGTATTCCGACAGATGGGGCAACTGGACACTGCCATGGAGCAGGGCCCACAACAGGCCAGATGACCACAGGGCATGAAGGTCACCCTCACTGGGCTTTCCATACAGATTTTACACAGGTACCGGTCCTTAATTCGTGAGTTCTCGTCCATGATGTTTTCCAACACAGGAGAATTGTTTGATGTTGAGTTGTTTTGCAGACCACACATTCCTCTGGTGTCTGTCTTAGAAGGCTGTGTTCTGTTACATTGTGTCCTTTCTGTAGAAGCAGAAGTTTTGGATTTGATGTTTGTTGTCTCAAGAGCTTTTTCCATGTCAAGAATATCAGTCGCCAACTCTTGTGCAGAGAAACACTTTCCTTTACTTGATTTGCTATTGTTCCTCAGAACCTCTTGAACAAGTTGTTGGGAGAACCCCATCTGAAGCACAGCTAGAACTGCCTCACTGCGCGTGAGTTCTGTCATGTTATCCTCAGGGGAGGAAATATTTTCCTGAGCAGAGCTTTGTTGATCTTTTAGAGATTCTGGCGTGTTCTTCTCCCTGAATAAAAGTGTCATATTGTAGAAAACGTACTCAATATTTACTTGGACATATTATAAATAAAAAGTAATAAAAAAGGTTACATTTTTTTCTCATATGTGTAGTGCAGGTAGGTTAATCAGTGGATAGGAACTGGCTATTTTACAGCTATTAAACGTTGTCAGATCATTGATATACCAAGTTTAACTTGGTTAAACTCACTTGTTTTCATTTTGACAATCCAAGCAGAGATTACGATCCACATGCACAAGGAAACGTTTCAGTAAGAAAAGGAGCACAATACTTGCCCATGGAGCTGCCTACTTCTTGCTGAAGTGTCTGATCCCCTTTTTCCAATTAATATTAAAAATCAACTTCTTCGTATTACGTCTCCTCATTTCCTCTCATTAAAATGTGTGCAAACATTAATACCGAAACATATTTACAAGCATTTGCTAGTCACAATGAGTTTAAATAAATGAAATTATGAAATACAACTGTATTACTCACTCGACAACTCGTTGCTCATGCAGCATATCTACAATAGTATCTTGTCCCATACACAGCTTTACATATGGGCAGGACGGGAAACACTTAGCATGCTCAATCCAAGGATCGTCTTCAGGTTTCCAGTTATACAGTTTCCCCTGGCAATAGGCACATCTCACTCTGTCCGGTTTCTCCTCACACGGAACGTGGTAGAATCCTGCTCTAGCCAGAACTTCAGGTGTTTGAGTTAAATTTGGCGGCCATCTTGAAAATGATGCCAACCGATTTACTGCCTTCTTAAAGTCGACGTTCGCTCTGTTTTCACTTCCGACACAGACCGGTGCTATTGGGTGCTGGAATAGTCCTGTATTGTCTTCTAAGGGCACATTCCCAACATCCTCACCCTGGATGAATTTACAATGTGGGAAATGTCGTCTGTGCTCAGACATTGGTTCATCCCAAGTCTCCCATTTCTTGAGGACACCGAAACAAAATGGACACTGCACTCTGTCACTGATCTTCGTGTAGTAGAACCCAGCTTTAGCCAAACACTCCGGTCTTTGACAACTCCACGCCGGCCAGGTTTTGAAAGTTTCCCGCCTATTTCTCTCATATTTCATGACCCGTGAGCATTTAGCGAGCGTTTCAAAATCATCGTCCATGCAGTCGACACATTCTAGCTGTGTAGATATATTACCTGACTGAGTGTCAGCTAAGTTGCCTACTCCTTTAGCCATAGTCATGCCTGCAACGTAAGCCGTAGTAGTCTGACTGGTTGTAGTAAAGATACGCTCAATGAAATTTATATGATACGACTTTCCTATTTATAGACCACAGCGCACTGATCTAGAAAGCTCGGATAGCTGCTAGACCTAACCATCTGCCCGCTGTAAACAAATCGCTGTGTCATACAAACACGTACAAGCTCAATACACATGAACTCCTTATTTGGATAAACTGTGGAAATATATATATATATATGTTGTGGTCATATTATGACGTAAGTGTAGAAGTAATGGGTATGCGGAATTTGATGTGTGATAGGCTCTTCACTGCTCAATGACCATGATACATAGTAATGCCGCATCTCGGAGACAAATAGATACACAGGCGAAACTGTCGCTCATCTTCAAGGATCAACAGGTGCAATACCGTTACATATTTGTCTGCTAAATTATGTTATCGATTATGTTCTGTTATATTTTAACATAGGATAAGTGGTTTGAGGAGTACAACTATGTATTTAGCAATGTTACATCATGATCAGACAGCGTTAATATAATTCTGAAAGTGAAGCTTGTGCATACTTGCTGCAGTTGCCATACATTAGAACCTAACAAGGTACATATACTCATATGCTTGCTAATTTCGTTGTGTTAGCTAATTTTTTTGCTGTGTCAAATTGTGCACGTATTGGAAACACATGTACGTACATGGTGTCTTTTATACCCACTGGGGTTCAGGGTTGAACTCGGTACTTACACATACTTGTCGTACGAGACGACTAGCTGGATCGGTAGGCTTCCGGCTGATAGTGTGCCATGGTACCCCGACGGTTACATGTTAGTCAGAATATCAATCACTGGTTGTTTGTGCCAGACCTGATTATTTACAGCTCGCCTTGACAGCTGAGGTTCAACAATATCAAGGAACATCTTTTTGCTCTTTTTGGTATTAGGAATGTATTTTCCCTCTCAGAAATATATTCCCCCTTCCAGGCGGAATATGTAGCATTTTTCGAGATCTCCGAAAATAAACAGATGTCAACATTCTGACACTGAGATATGGTAAGGGTGTTTGGCAGTACAAGTTCATGAAAGAGGGTTTTAATTTAAAATTATATGATGATGATGCACTTTTTTTCTTGTCCCTAAAGATAAAGAATATGATGTTGAAGCAAACTGTCCGTGCGATATACACGTGAAAAGTGTGAATAGATTACTGTAGTCAATATATCTCAACATGAGGCCAAATTACATCAATTACAGCATAGACTCTTCATATCGCTTCACTATAAAATATCCCGACTGACACTGCATTGTCCTGAAGGACTATAGTGTAAGATAATCCTTTGCATTGTTCCGTTACGTGTCGATATATGCCTGACACAATGCCGATGAAACTTTGTATTTTAACTCGCTCACTTTCTTTCTTACACGTACATTACACGTTTTGATCACACCTTTGTGATATCCAGACCATGAACTTGGGTTTAAAGAAGCATTTGCATGTACCTCAAGTGGGCTTTGCTTATATAACTTTGGATGGAAATATTATAGTCAATAACTTTCGAAACCGTTTTCAGAGCTGTATTCTTTAATCACAATGCATAACCAGCTTGTCACTGTAAGCTAGGGAGCTCAAATGTGTGAAGTACTACGTGTGGGTATGTGTGTGTGTGTGTGTGTGTGTGTGTGTGTGTGTGTGTTTTTGTCATGTGTACAAAGTCTAAGAAATTCACTGAACGGTTTTCATGTAAAGAAATCCGTAAATCAACAAGTAATTTGTCATTCAGAAATAGTTGGAAATCTGACATTTCTATTGCCATTTCCATTAGAATTGATTTTGTAAATTGCAGGAGAAAATATTCGAATGACTTGGAAAAAAATTATGGGATGTATTGCTTATTGACTGGCCATCATGCAGGATGTATATCAGTTACTTCACCAACCTTAACGTAATCAAACCCTACAACCTGTATGTAACCTCTTGCTATGCCATTATGTGTGATATGTTGTACAGCACCATCTAGGAGATCAGCTGGGTGTACCTTACATATGCACGTTGAGTGTATAGGGTGTAAACATATAACATCGAGAAATTATATTTTATTAAAGAGTTTATTATGTAAAAGCTGAACATTTTTTGTAAACATAAACCTTTAACAACAGAGTATGACCTGCATCGATACCGGTCGCAAAAAGCAAAATAACAATGAACATTGTGTTAATACCTCACTCACTCAAGTTTCATATCAGGGACCAAATCTGCAGTATTCAACACAAAAAATGCTAAATAGTCCTAGAAGTAAGACCGAACACATCCTTGTATTGGAGTCCGACAGATGGGGCAACTGGACACTGCCATGGAGCAGGGTCCACAACAGGCCAGATGACCACAGGGCATGAAGGTCACCCTCACTGGGCTCTCCATACAGATTTTACACAGGTATCGGTCCTTAATTCGTGAGTTCTCGTCCATGATGTTTTCCAACACAGGAGAATTGTTTGATGTTGAGTTGTTTTGCAGACCACACATTCCTCTGGTGTCTGTCTTAGAAGTCTGTGTTCTGTTACATTGTGTCCTTTCTGTAGAAGCAGTAGTTTTGGAAATGATGTTGGTTGTCTCAAGAGCTTTTTCCATGTCAAGAATATCAGCCGCCAAGTCTTGTGCAGAGAAGTACCTTCCTTTACTTGATTTGCAGTAGCTCTTCAAAACCTCTCGAACAAGATGTTGGGAGAACCCCATTTGTAGCACAGCTAGAACCGCCTCACACTTCATGAGTTTTGTCATGTTATCCTCAGGGGAGGACATATTTTCCTGAGCAGTGCTTTGTTGATCTTTCCCAGTTTCGGCATTGTGTTCCTCCCTGAATGAAAGCATAATATTATAGAAAATATATTCAAATTAACTTGAGAAAGTCATTACGACAAAATTATCCTGTCACCTTTCATTATGTTAATATTTCATGTTTCACTTACAAGTACAAAATACAATGAGAAGGCATATGCATGATTTCCATGGTTTTGGATAGTTCCTCTGAGATACAAGGATCCTAATATGATCGTGGGATCGATTCCTACTTTGCTTTGATTATGATCTTTGATTTTCATGACATTGTGTCTCGCAGTCTGCTGACGTGCTTCGACTGAAACATATATTTTTACACTGATTCACATCAACATTCTACTCCCTGAGGATTTGGAATTGACGGGTTTTTAGATTACTTTTGTTACTATTCTTCTGACATTGATGCCGATAGAATCTGTTTCGACAAATAATCGAGACACTTTGGCTTTGACACTTTATATTTCAAAGCAGCCAACCCAGTCACTATGTTTTTGACAAAGTTACACCAAACTTTATCCCATCTGTCCCTAGTATGGTGATCTACCTTCAGTTGTTGGCAATCTATGTCCTGTTTCTATATTGTCTCGTCATGTATGGTTGCAATGTTTACTTCACTTACTAGTTTTAAAATTTATATCTGCGATAGTCTAGTTGTTTTACTGTCCTTAGTTGGCAGGTTTTTATACTTTACCTATAATTATTATAAAGATATAACTTGATATAGTCACGATATGGCTGAAATGCTGTGACTTAAAATCTAAACTCACTCACTGACTTTATCAGATCTGATGAGCATGCTGTCGGTGTGGATTTAGCGCAATATAAATGGACTAATTATTATTATTATTATTATTATTATTATTATTATCTATTTTTACTTTTGGGCTTTTATGCCCTATGGATTCTCCAAGCTAACTGAACATGACAATCACAGTTATTTCCTGATTCACTCTTATGTTGAGCATTATGTTCCTGAATTATCTTAAACATTTAGAGCAGTAATATCATAGCTTTTATACACTTGTCCAAACTGAATACTTATTCACCGCACTTTAATATATAACTGCATTGTAGGAATAAAACTGCTGTTCAAACTGGGTACTAAGAAAAAAAAAGAAATTATGAGTGATTTGGATTTAATAGTATTTCAATATTATTTTGTGAACGTGATAGGTGAGAAAAGCCAAAACTGATGCAGGTCTTAAACAATTAGAACTCTGCTGACAAACAGGGCGGCCGGGGTTCGAACCCACAATCACAATGCATTCAGAACGTGCGCAACTGGCTACATAGCGAATTGCTGTGCCTCCGAACCGGGCCACAATAGCCTCTCACAGCAATTATTAAATAGTTTAACTGTAGTACTCACTCGACAACTCCATGTTCCCGGAACATTGACTTGGTGACATGTTGTCCCACACACAGCGTTATATAGGGGCAGGACGGGAAACACTTTGCGTGCTCAGTCCAAGGGTCGTCTTCAGGTTTCCAGTTGTACAGTTTCCCCTGGCAATAGGCACACCTCACTCTGTCCGGTTTCTCCTCACACGGAACGTGGTAGAATCCTGCTCTAGACAGAACTTCAGGTGTTTGAGTTAAATTTGGCGGCCATCTTGAAAATGATGCCAACCGATTTACTTCCTTTTTGAAGTAAGCTGTGGCTTCACTTCCGATACAAGTAGGTGCTATTTGTTTCTGCAATAGTCCTGTATTGTCTTCTATGGGCACATTCCCAACATCCTCACCCTGGATGAATTTACAATGCGGGAAATGTCGTCTGTGCTCAGACATTGGTTCATCCCAAGTCTCCCATTTCTTGAGGACACCGAGACAAAATGGACACTGCACTCTGTCACTGATCTTCGTGTAGTAGAACCCAGCTTTAGCCAAACACTCCAGTCTTTGACAACTCCACGCCGGCCAGGTTTTGAAAGTTTCCCGCCTATTTCTCTCATATTTCATGACCCGTGTGCATTCAGCGAGCGTCTCAAAATCATCGTCCAAACAGTCAGTACGATCCAGTCGGGAAGGCAATTTATGCAAACTGTCTGCAGGGCTACCACGGTGCATCATGTTAGCTATCGCCATATTTCTCTTTCTTCAACGGATAACTCAGACTTTTAAAATTTCAACTGTTACTCCGCGTCCTGCTTTGTATATATCTCCATATGATGTGGTCGAGGTCGACGTGCCTAGACGGGTCACGTGATGTAAACAAGTATGTCATTGGCTAAGCGTTGTTTTGCATTGATTGTTGCCTTGACATCTGTGAATTCAGTATTTGGTATTTTACATTCAAATTAACTGCATTTAAACATTGTTTGAACATGTATTATTACAGGGGATTTTACAAATAATTTAGCGGACTTGATTTTATGCTGATATGCTCGAGCCACGGTGCCCTTGAAGCAGTATGTATCATGTGACCTGTTTGAAACACAGTGACGCATTTTCCTGTGTGACGTAAATAGGTATTCGTGACATGTAGCATTACCACAGAGCCGCGTATGTATGTATGTATGTATGTATGTATGTATGTGTGTGTCTGTATGTATGTATGTATGTATGTATGTATGTATGTATGTATGTATGTATGTATGTATGTATGTATGTATGTATGTATGTATGTATGTATGTATGTATGTATGTATGTATGTATGTATGTATGTATGTATGTATGTATGTATGTATGTGTATGTATGTGTGTATGTATGTATGTATGTATGTATGTGTGTGTGTGTATGTATGTGTGTGTGAGCGTGTGTGTGCGTGTGTGTGCGCGTGCATGTGTCTCAAGCTATGCAAGTTTTACCAGCAACATCTAAGCCCGAATCCTATCTGCTATGTAAGTATGTAAAGTCGTATGTACATACATTTCGTTAATAGTGTGTAGTTCTTTACACATTTTCCTTTCCATGGTTGCAGTAGAACAGTGATGTATTAATGATTGTGTATAGAAATGTGTATGTTTAGGAGGATATATACTGTGATCCTTTTCAACATATTAACAAATGTCCTTATAAATGACGTATTGCTGCTGTTTGTGTGTATGCATAAAAGAAACCAAATCATTTCCGAAATCGGCGTGTCCGAGGTGTGATGTCCGGATTATTCAGGGTATACTGTCAATACAATTCATATAATCGAACCCATTCATCATCGCGGGGTTATCAGGGCAGGTGGGTTAGCCTAGTGATTAAAGTGTTCGCTCGTCACGCTGAACACCCGGGTTCGATTCCCCACATGGGTACAATGTGTGAAATCCATTTCTTATGTCCCTCGCCGTGATATTGCTGGAATATTGCAATATTGATAAAGATGATATATGAATCCGACAGCTATGATATTTTCGTCACGTAAATCCAGAAATTCCCCTTCTTGATGTCCGCCATGCCTTGCACAACAACCTGTTGCATCTGACAGCTACGATATTTTCTTCACGTAAGGCTAGACATTCCCCTACAGTTATTCCGTACATGTCTGAACGTACAGTCATGATGACTTCATAAGTATACACTGTCATTTGTGACGTTAAATTTTAAGTCACTCACACTCACACTCACACACTGTCCTTACATGAAAGAATCACAACACCATTATTCAACACCAGCCCTGCAGTCCATAATGTGAAATAACTGTTGCACACACAGGCATGACCCCAGCGAAGTGTATAACTCTTTGTCCTCGCGCTCGCCAAACCACAAGGAAGTGTTTGAGATTTTATCGTAACAGGATGGGTCGCTGGTTGCCCGAGATAAGCGGCGAGCCTGGCGACAACAAGTTGTTGACTGGTCTCATGAATGAACTTTGAGTATCAATTACATACCGGTGCAGAATAAACACCGTGTTGACGTAATTATACATCGTACACAAACTATACATAATTAGTCATGACAACGTTATATGTACATATAAGATGGGGCATTTTAACGTCGCATTCAGGATTAATACATTTGTACAGCGATATGCTTACACTGTAGGCGGGTGCATGTACTGAACCCCAAATAATGTGGCTTGCATGATGCTAACACACTTGGATATCTAGACTAACGCTTAGTCTCTGAATATATGTTATTTTCATAGAACAAGCAATTCCGTTTAAATTGAAAATCAGTTGAGTTGGGACATTCATAACCTGAAGCTGAGGAAATCTTAACTTCATTTCGGGCTTTAGTACTGCAGGGAGGGCTCAGTGGAGGGGAAATAACGTGGTGCAGGAACTGTGAGACAGACTATTGGATACTTTACATGCAAACTGTGATAAGTGATGTTGACTAGGTTAGGCTGATAAACAATAGCTATCATCACTATCATCATGCTGTGGTGGTAATATAGATACGAAAGGTATAATATGAGATGTTAGCATTTCTCCAGCTCGTATTTACTCACAGAGATATTTTTACGCTTTGGAAATATTCCAGCAATATCACGGCGGGGGTTAGAAAAAATGGGCTTCACACATTACACATGTAGGGAATTGAACCCGGGACTTCGGCGTGACGAGCGAACGCTTTAACCATTTGGCTACGTCTACCCCCACCACCCCATGTTAAAATGGGCAGATTAAGAGCGACACGCGTGGCAACACAATGCCTAATGAACATAACATAACATGAACATAATGCCTAATGCGAGATGATAAAAGACAGGAAAACTGTACTTGTTAACTGAAACTCACACAGGAAGTAAATCTGTCCTCGTTATACAGAGAATAGCTGTCACACCAGTGAAACTAACCAGACGATTCTGTTATCGGGTATATTATTTCAGATATTAGGTAAGTGAGTGAGCATGTCTTTACGCCGCTTATAACAATATTCCAGCAATATCATGGGCTTCACACATTGTAGCCATGTGTGTATTGTGCTAACAAACAAGCACTCCAATCGTAGGCTCCTAGAACCCGCAAGGGACACAATTCTGCACGTTGAATTGCCTGATTGCGGTAGATAGGCTTAGGATCACTTCTATAATTCTATAATAAAATTACTTATATGATTATTATGTACACTTAATTACGTGAACAAACGATCCATTCACAAGTTACAAAATCATAAATGTGATCGCCTCTCATTTGTCCTTTTCCACCACTTCATCACATTGGGACATTTCGCAACGGCGATCTTGTTCTCAGGAAGCGTAGCTGTCGCGATATAAGAATGCGACCAATACCCAGCTGATTGGCTAAGCTGAGGTCAAGGTTGATGTTTCAAGCGAAGACGCAACGACGTCAACTAATGTTATAAAATTCTCTTTATTTATTTCGTGTTGATAAATTGTGTTTTACATTATTATGTTTAATAGTGGTGCAAAGCAAATATTAAAATAGCTGTAAACGAAACGCGTGTATTGTGTCTCTGGGCTATTTACGGTCTACATATTTCATATTTCTAGCAAACGTAATCATTCAGGTTGTCGTAGGCTCTGACGGTGACCTGTGCTCTTTCTGCTACCTTGAACTGTTTTATCAACATTTCGTTTTGAGATGGATGAACGTTGCTCAAATAGATCATCTGAAAAGAGATAAAACACAAATTAGAACTACCACTGATAGTATCATGACCAGGTATGGAAGTTTCTAGAAGCCTCACTCACCCACATTCTACCACTCACCCCAATCATAGCAACAACCCTTGTCCTCAGCAAAACCACACCCTTGCCTTCATGCTTACCCTTAGTTTCGCCTTGGCGATCAACATCACTCTCACCCTAACCATCCCTCTCATCTTAACCATCACTCTGATCCTTGACATCTCTCTCACCACATACTATGTTCAACTGATAAGAAGTACCACACACGGGACACCAGGTATCACGACTCACCCTGATTGGCACGTCGGACAGCACTCTGAAACACGTCATCTTTGCAATGTTATTTCCAATCACGTTGTTTGTTGTGGTGAGCAGATCCTTCAGGATGTCCATGTATTCATCAGTCGTGTGCCCTTTGGTAAAGAAATACATGTAGCATACTTCATAACAAGTTCATAACGTACATGTTTGTTCCACAAATCGACCCCATAGCGATGTCTATGGTAAATTTAAGTGAAACATGTTATCATCCGAAATCCTGATTTCATTGTACGACTCATAAACTGATGGCCGAAATAAACTTTGCCATAGTTGCATGAGTAAGGGGGAGTGTGGTTTTACGCCGCTTTTAGCAATATTCCATCAATATCAAGGCAGAGGAAACCAGAAATGTGCTTCACAGGTTGTACCCATATGGGGAATCGAACCCGGGTCTTCAACATGACGAGTCAACCCTTTAACCACTAGGCTACCCCACCGTCGCCATAGTTGCATTAAGTAAAATGTTTGAAAAACATAATATTTCCACAAAATCAACATTTACAATGGCAAGTATACAGTAATTGATAATTATCAACTTCATCGAATTAAGGTGGGGTTGAAAACGAAACTACAAGCTTTCAACCAAATGGACAATTAAATAATAGTTAATTAAATAATCAACGTGACACTAATAGCGTCCATGACCACCCCATGCTACAAATCACTCCAGCGCGCAGAGCAAGTAAGATGTCTGATGACGCGATGTCGCCATTCTTCTTTGAAGACCTGGATCAGACTTCGACGATGTTGTCGTTGCCGAACACGACGATCCATGACATCCCAGAGGTTTTCTGTCGGAAACAAGGGGACCGAGCAGACCACGGCAACATGCTGGGGTATGGCGTTACCATGCTCACAAAGGACACAATGTAGTAAGTATTGTCAAGATGGCAGACAATTGGACGAAGAATGTCATCCATGTAAAACGCTGCGCTGTCAGGTTTAGGTCAGCAATGACCAGTGATGTTTTGATCTGACCCCAACACCCCTTCCAACTTACGTTCTTTCGTTCTCCTCTTTAGGGGTCAACATGGCGTATTTCATCAGCTCTGAACAGACTAAACACGGTTTCGTCAGTGAAGACGACCCTTTGCCAGTCACGTCGCTGCCAACAATATACAATCCGATTCCATCTTAGTCTCTGACAACGGTGTTGTGCAGTCCACAATTTTCCTCTATATGATATGGGCCGGCCACTGGTTGCCTGTCTGTCTGTCGACTCACCGGATGTCCTGATGAAGGCACTGTCAGAAATAGATTCTGGAGATGCAAAGTACTGGTCTTCATTTAACCTGAGGCTTCTTGACCTTGGCATGTCTGCTGCCTGCCAGGTCCGTCTGTATCGTTGCATCAGGTTACTTACAGCAGCGCGGGAACAACCAAAGGTTCTAGAAACGTGGGCTTAAGCAGCTCCCTTCTGTGACAGATTCAGGGATTTCAGTAGTGTTTTCTTGTCAGTGTGTGAGGCTCACATGCTGCCCGTATCATGTACACTTTTTCATACTGTTCGTGTACTTTCAGCAGCCAAAGAAGCAAGTGTTGTTCACTTTTTCGCATTTTCTTAAAAACCAACCCTACTGTGCCATGGAAGTGTATCACTTACTGTATAGAGCACTGATTTAGTTTCAGCTCTGTGTTATGTTTTGTAATTTCGTTTTTAACAAGTGAAAAACTTTTCCTTTGCCGCCAGTTTATCATAAGTAGATCATATATGAATCAGGTAGTCATGATACTAGGTGTTCATGCAAAGATGAACGCATTCTGTCCTACAAGCACATGTAAAGGCGTGGCAAGCGTCACTCGGAACAAATACGATAACATTTAATACAAACCAAAATGGGGAATTGTGTGGGGCATCATTTTGGTCACTGATGCATCCTAATTCGAAATATCCTACATACACATATCATAACAAATGGAAAAGCAAAACCCTTTCCACATTCACAACGAAAGAGCATGTGTTTATGAATCCCTATGAAATAGTGATGATACCAGGTGTTAGCCAAAAGGTGAGCGTATAAGTCAAAATAGGGAATTGCATCGGAATCATTTTTGTCACTGATGCATCAAATTTGGAAATCTCCTCCACATGTCTAACATAGAACTTCTTGAAAGCTTTACTGAGGCCTTGAATGTTGAGCAAACAACTTCTGAGCAAGAGTGGCATCATGCTCTTTGAAATCCCGATAAAAAGGGCACGCTCGATTGTACCTCGAAAGTGAAATGTAAACACCAAAGGCTGGAGCTGTTGGACTATTGCTCGACGTGAAAGGGAAGTTGACTATTGTAAAGATGAAATCATCCCTTTTGCCATACAGCCTTGTGGAGAGATTTGTGTCACTCTGAATCTCTATGCATAAATCTAAATATGAAACAGTTGAGGCGGCCTCACTTGCCTCAATTAACTGTTTTGGTGGTGATTACCGGCTTGGTAGAAAAGCATCTCTGTGACGTGCAGCGTCCCGTTTCCGAAGTTTCTGGTCAAACCGGTCAGCTCCACACCCAGTTCCTTGGCAAAGTTGTCACAGCCATAGAGTGGTACAGCTGAGAACTGGTCATCCATACTGAACAGTACATCGGTCAGTGCCGGCCACCGGCAGTCATCTTCCACGTCCACAACTGAAACCATACCATTGAAAATAAAAAATACTGAAATTGAAAAGATTAGAGTTATTTGCTGAGTTATTTTTATGTCCGTGAAGATCCGGTTTAGAAGTGGTCTTCGGTAAGCTATGCTTGTCGTAAGAGGTGACTAACGGGATGGGCTGGTCCGGCTCGCTGACTTGGTTGACACATTTCATCGTATCCAGGGGCGTAGCTACCATTATAAAAAAGGTGAGGTGAAATTGGGTTTAACGTCGTGCTTGAGAATATTTCGCTCATATGACGACGTGCATGCGTGTGTATGTGTATGTGCGGCTGCTTGTACTAGCCCAGACTGAAGCTGGTTTTATAGTGCTAGCCCACTGAGATACCATGCCGCAGTGAAGCATGAATACCCCACTCAAACACATTAAACTGACTCCGAGCTACCTCTATTGTTTTCAGTGATACTTCAATACTGCGCCCTTTACACCTTGTGCAATCTGATTATTCTCCGGGTTTGACATTATATATTTACTATGTGGTACAATGTCTTAGTTCAATATTATGACCTCGGCCTAGGCCTCCGTATTCGGAAATACGTTCGGTGTATCTGACAATAAAAGTATTAAAATTCTGATTGTTTCCGGTCAGTTTTGTCATCCGATCAAATAGGTTACTTAATTATTGTTAAACACGGAATTCCCTGTTTATTTTCAAAAACGTCCCACGTATGTTACGGCCCATACAACGAGATCGAGTGTTTCAGGTATGTAGCAGAAAACGCCGAGTTTTGCCGAATGACTGTTACTGATCTACTCGCCTCTTTCCGTGACAACCAAGAAGACTCGTTCCCCTATCGTTATCTATGCGAAAATACGATCATCCAATCAGAAATCGTATTGAGGTTATTATGAAAACAAAACAAAAAACAGTACTTAAATCGATTATGAATTTTGTTGTTATTGTTAAAAATATCGTGAAAAATATATGTTGTCAGTTTGACATTACAAAGAACGTAGATAATAGAATTGTGTTGCCTAATTTGATGTTTTTAAAGGATAGGAACATGAACGGCTTGAGCTTCAAATACACACACGTGCGTTTGTTAACATAATAACTCTCCAACAAGCTGGCAAGTAGGCTTGGTTTGAGGATTTTACATGCGCATTACATTTAAAGGTAATGCAATTTTAAATGGCATCGAGTTTCGAAACAATATATTAATATATAACTAATCAGCTTTAATCTTACACAGTGGGCTTACATTTCACTTCGACCGCCTCCGTGGTGTAGTGGTTAGAGTGTCCGCCCGGAGAGCGGAAGGTCGCGGGTTCGATCCCCGACCGCGTCATACCAACAGACGTTAAAATATGGTACTTGATGGTCCCTGTCTGGCGCTCGGCATTAATGGGTACAACAAGGACTGGTCGGCTCGGAGTCAGTATAATGTGTCTGAGTGGGATATTCATGCTTCACTGCGGCATGGTATCTCTGTGGGCTAGCACTATAAAACCAGCTTCAGTCTGGACTAGTACTAGCAGTCGAACATACTCATACACACGCATGCACGTCGTCATATGAGCGAAATATTCTCAAGCACGACGTTAAACCCAATTTCACCTCACCTCACCTACATTTCACTTCACTGGGGATATTTACGTCTGAGGATCCTCGGGTCCTTCATATGTTTTCAGCATATTCATTGACACAAAAGCAAGGTTCAGACACTGCGTACGCTATAGCTTTGCAGGAACCTCCTCCAATTCTCAGTTTGGGATATATTTTGGAACTTATATAAGCTGAATTACAATGTTATTTTAATTGCCTAATCAGGAACAAAATCCCATTCTTAAACCATATTCAGAAATATACATGATGAAATCGAAGGTGAACACCTGACATTAGTTAGAATATGTTTTCGACAAATCATCATCATTAATATTGTGTAAAACAGGTTCAATTCTGTTAAAAACAGCTATTATCAAGCGCTTCAGTAATATAATTGTCGTTCTTGAATGAAGCAGTTCTGATGTTCATACGCCAATATGATATCCTTCGCTATTCAGCTTGTCCCGGAATAACACGATTGATCTACATAAAATGCATGCTGGATGGGATCGGTAGAGATACCATTCTTAGAATATAGCAATCAACGTTGTTTTTCAAGAAAATCGGTGCATCTACCACACAAAGCCAATACAATGTCTTACCTGCAAGGATGTAGGGATTGGCTAGCTCCTGAAAGTAAAATAATGTACAATGTTTAAATGTTGAAAGATCCTTCCATACTAAGCTAAACTTTTAAACTTAGATTTTTCTATTGTAAAATCAAAGTCTGTGTGTATGTGTGTGTGTGTGTGTGTGTGTGTGTGAGAGAGAGAGAGAGAGAGAGAGAGGGGGGGGGGTTGGTTGGTTGGTTGGTTGGTTGGACAATCCATTGATCAACAGCATGAGGTGTGAAAGAGAAGGGTGAGGGGTAGAGGGGATGGGAGACTAAGAGAAATATAGCTAGTTTTATTCCATGTGGGTAAAATAATTAAACCTCAACTCCTTCTAAAAAGCTCTTAATACGAAATATAAGTGGTGAAATAATTATTTCGGGGTGCAATTACCTTAAAAAAGATGAAGGACGTCAATGCCAGGGATATCATTAAGAAGTGTTTTGATGGTGCCAATGTCCTGCGCTTGGTTCCTGCCTACTGTTGGAGTCAGTCGGAACTTCAATTGGTACAACTTCTCATCTGGGTTAGCCGCCGCGGACGCCATCAGCAAAGTGGGCAACAGGCAGCATATGGCACTGAATGTCTTCATTATCGTTGCAATCTGGTTAGATGGCCGACCTGGAAGTATCGTTGTCGTTGACGTTGACGTTGACCATGACAGTGACATCATCTTATAAAGAAAATTACAATCGACTTTCGTTCCATTGGTAATGCCGCACTCAGCAGTTTTCCAGCTACATGGCGGCTGTCAGTAAATTCCGGACCAGGCAATTCAACGATCAACAGCATGAGCATCAATCTACGCAATTGGGATACGATGACATGTGTCAACCAAGAAGATCACTTCTGACCCGAATCTTCACGGATGTGAACGTACGTGAGTTTTGCGTAAAAAATACAAGCGACAGAATCATTTCAATAACAAAAAAACATCGCACTCATAGTTTTGATAATGAATATATTGTGTGCTTGCTGTTGGTGAAATATACTTTGTTAAAACCGTCAGTTGCATGGTCCCTTCAGCATTAAGAGAATGCCTGAATGAGTTTAGTTTGTACGCCGCACTCAGCAATATTGCAGCCATATGGCGGCGGTCTGTAAAGTCTGGACTAGACAATGAAGTCATCAACAGCATGAGCATCGATCTACGCAATTAGGATACGATGACATGTATCAACCCAGTCAGCGAGCCTGACCACCCGATCCCGTTATTCGCCTTGTACTACAAGCGATGGTTGCTAAAGACGAATCATCAATCTTCAAGGGTCTTTCGTTGAAATTCCATTGAGTCGCAGAGGTATTTTGAATGTTTCCTGGTAAAACATCACGACATTTAGTGGCACATTCACATGGGTGCCACCTCTTCACAAATAAAAAATATCAAAACAAATTGAGACAAGAGGCAACGTCTCCACATGAAAATGCTGAAAATATTGTCTGTTTTATGCGCACATTTGCATCAATTTGGTATAACTGTCTAGTACGTCAAGAATACCAAGACGAATAAATAATACGTCTGATAGTACCCGTTAACATACGGGTTAGGAAGGGCCCAACGGATTCAGCTATTCGGGATCGCTGACTTGGTTAACACAGGCTAAAAATGATGTCCATCATGGGCTTTCTCGTCCAGACTAGATTATTTACAGATCGATAGATGTTGCTAAACGTGGCATTAAGTAACAAAAAATTCTCATAGTGAGTGAGTGAGTTAATATTTAACGTCACATCGGCAATATCTCAGCCATATCGTGACGAAAACAATTTATATAATTCAAAAAATGAAAACATTGTGGAGAGTTAAACCTGTCGACGATGGACAGTAAAAATACTAGAGTATCACAGATATGAACATAAAACTAGCAGGTAAAACTAAAACAGTGTAATTAAAGAAGACAATACAATATAAAACACGGGCTATAGATCGCCAGCATCTGAAGGTAGATCACCATACTAGGAACCATGGGGACTTACATTACTTTCGCTACCTGCATGGAGCCTAGCTGGATTTACACAATCCCTTCAGCCGCTGGCGATTGTAGGATAGTTTAGCCGAAATTAAAAGAACAAAAATACTACGATTAAAACCAATAATAAAAACTTATCTATTTACAAAACATATATCAAAACTTCTGACAGTGTGCAAACATGTTCATTACACCATCTCGACATTAGCTCCTACCTTACACTTCAGCAACTGCCAAATGTCTGATATTGAAATATTCACTATGATCATATAGAGAAACAGATATGGACTCCTCATATATTAATTAGTCGTGTGGACTGGAAGCATGGTCAGGTATGTATAGCTACAAATAGAGCGTGCACGACAAACACGATATGATTGGAGAATCATGGATAGGTTCCAACATGGGATATCTCATTATGTATTATTCCTTCTAGTATTTCAGGACACACATGTTGTTTATCAAACAAATTGATGATTCTTTGAATAAACGTTGCCTTTTATCTGTGAAGTGTAAAGATATTACTAATTAAATTAAATGATATGAATGGAGGATATGCAAACATTAATAATTTTTTCACGCTTTGCTTGGATCGTGAACTGTAATTTAATCAATGTGGATTAGAGTTACAAGGACTTTTATCATGCGATGTTTGTTAACTGAAATGTTATCATAGCCCAATGAAAATATCAAGCATGCCGTTGTACATAGGGATGATAGAAACTCCATTATTTTAACATTGACAGTCTTAGCGCTAGGTTTGCTTTGTACAACGGCAGAGAAGATCATTATACGACAGAGAAGATCATTATACGGCAGAGAAGATCATTATACGTGACACCAGGAATGTTCACGTTCCGGGTCACAAATATGTCTATTCCATTTCCAACAAAACAAGAAGCAGGTAAGACAGTTGCAACCAAAGGAATATTCCAACAATACAACGACAGGGCGCTAGCTGAGGACTTCACGCAGCGGGTTCTTTTCGGAAACAAACTGTGTTCTTTATTAAAGTCCCAGCTCAGTATCGGTCTCACACAGCCTTTGCTGATCGTAAAGGAAGTCTTGGTGACAATCCGTTCCTTGTTCTCTGGCAACCATATTGGCCTTGTGAAGCGCCAGGAACTTCCTGTGTTGAGAAGGATGGTTCACTTGTCAAATATTTGTTGAGTTCAAATGGTTTTACAAGAACGGTTATGTCTGAAAGTCAAAACATATTCATTAACTCATTCATTCATTCATTCATTCATATTAAGCATAAATGTTGAACATATGGTAATGCCTCATATGGATATCAGTATCGTGTTGCAAGTGTGTTAACTTTGCATTACGTTTACAATGTGTGAAGACCATTTCTGGTGCCTCCTGACGTGATATTGATAGAATACTTCTAAAATCTATAATTGCATGTCATGTGTGGCAGAAAGTTATCCTCCCTGATTATCATTCTTGATTTGTCAGCTCCTTACCAATAGAAGTGACAAAACCCTCTCCACATCCATAAGAGATCTCTGCTAAAACTAGAGTCGAGTGTACAATTGTGGCTGTATCATGAGCACATATGTATTTCAGCAATATTACAGCTGTATGATGTTGTTTGTAAACAAGTATAATCCTGGGTTCCACAAAACAATGAAAGCGTATTTTTTCCCACATTAAGCTGACACGTCTTCATGCAAATGGAAAAACTGTTCAAAACCCAACACACTGTCTCACAAAGATAAATATGGTTGTATTGTGCTCATCTACTTTCCAGGTACATTACTTGGAATATCAGGCCCAGCACTGGACATAGCTTATCCGTACCTTTTACTTTGTTGGGAGGACTTTTGAGCAGCGCACTGAGGCTGGCATTCTACTGGGAAACTGGATGAAAAGAACGTATAGTTTGATGATATTCCTCGCAGGTTTGTTTGTTTAAAGCCGCACTCAAATAAATAATCGAGTCTGGACCAGATAATTCAGTGTGATCAACATCATCAGCATCGATCGTCGCAATTGGGATACGATGACATGTCAACCAAATCAGCAAGTCTGACCATCCGATCCCGTTAGTCGGCTCTAATGAATGAAATGTGAACGGCACCACGTAATTGAATAGATTTGTAATGTGACTGAATGCAATAATTGCTCAGAGGCGCAGGCCATAGGCTCGTTGGAATAAAAGGGTCTTAATCTCTCGCTTAAAATTCTCAAAGTCTGTGATTGTCTGAAAGTTCTGCGGAAGCTTATTCCACAGAGTGGGACCCGCCTTGATGAAACTCCTGTCACCAAATTGAACTGTCCGCGTCCTAGGAACTGTCAGTTGAAGTGTTGCTGAAGACCTCAACGATCTGGCTGGTTCATACTTGTGGATACGGTCCTTAAGATATGATGGAGCTAGATGAGTTATGGCTTTGAACACAAACATGAGAAGCTTGTACTCAATGCGGTACTGAACTGGAATCCAGTGAAGGTGTTGCAAGATTGGTGTGATATATTCATGCTTGTTAGTTCCACTAATAAGTCTAGCTGCCGAATTCTGAATTCGTTGTAGCTTGGCCAAGCACTGTTGACTGGAACCATATAGCAAGGAATTGCAGTAGTCCAGGCGTGAGGTAACGAATGCATGGATTAGAGTCTTTGTTGCCTCAGTGCCGATATACCGCCGAATTTGCCCGATGTTACGAAGATGAAAGTATGCGGTTTTGCATACAGCGTCAGTGTGTTCGTCCATAACTAACGAACGCCAAGATTCCTAGCTTTTTCACTTCGTTGGACCAAACAGTTCCCGATTGTTGACCTGGGCTTTGTAACCGAGGAATCATATTTCTGGAGCTGATGATGAGAAGTTCTGTCTTATCATCATTAAGTTTCAAGTATTTTTCAGCCATCCAGTGTCGAATATCCTCAATACATGTTGAGATTGATTGAAAAGCATCTGCGGTTGAAGAGGGAACAAGGGGTCTAAATCCAAGATAAATCTGAGTATGATCTGAGTACAGATGAAATGATAGACTGTGCCTCCTAGCGATATCTCCAACTGGCAGAGTGTATATGGTGAACAACAGAGGTCCAAGGACTGAACCTTGAGGAACTCCGTACTCCAGATGACGACGGCTTGATTTGGAGCCATGTATAATCACAGCCTGGTATCGGTCCGTGAGGTAGGACTTAAACCAAGCTAGAGCTCTACCTCGGATGCCAATGCGCGATTCAAGCAGGGAGAGGAGGATACCATGGTCGATGGTATCAAAGGTCGCATATAGGTCTAGAAGAACCAGGACTGCTTCGCCTTTGGAGTCGACTTCACTGAGAAGGTCGTTCTGTACACGGAGCAGAGCGGATTCCGTGCTGTGGCCACGTTTGTAGGCAGATTGCATGGGTTCCCTTAGGTTGTTGAGCTTCAGGCGATGCTGCAGGCGAGATGCCACAACACGTTCAATCAACTTGGAGAGGAAGGGTAGATTCGATACGGGCCGGTAATTCTTTAAGATATTCGAATCTAGACTTGTTTTCTTTAAAATTGGCGTGACCAAAGCTTCCCTGAGAAGACTAAGAAAATTCACCTCCAGACATAGATTGGTTGACAATCTTAGTTAGAGCAGGTGCAATGTTACTTATACCCAGTTTTAAGAGCCATGTAGGTATCGGATCAAACACACACGATTTCGTTGGACACTTTTTCACAATCGTAACAGTTTCAGTCTCAGTTGCTGGAAGGAATGATGGTAGTTCACAATCAGTTTGAGTGGATATCTGGTTTGTGACGGTTGCTGTACCTTGAATATCAAGCCTTATTCCACCCAAAGTTGATCTTATCTTCAATATTTTTGTACTGAAATATGTTTCAATTGCTAAGACAAAGCTTCGCACTTCTGGAGAAGCCGGGGCGGTTGGGTAGCCTAGTGGTTAAAGCGTTGGCTCGTCACGCCGAAGACCCGGGTTCGATTCCCCACAATGGCCCAATGTGTTAAGTCCATTTCTGGTTTCCCAAGCCGTGATATTGCTGGAATATTGCTAAAAGCGGCGTAAAACTAAACTCAGACGGTCAGTCAGTCTGGACAAGCCAGATTCAAATGTTATATTGACATCCTTGGTACTTAGTGGCACACTGTACTACAAAGCAGCACGAATTACACCAAATAAGCACATTTGAAGAAATCCAAATTATACACATTTCTGAAACACCTAGTATCGTCACTATTTGATAGTGACTGCCACACACATGCTTAAGGAATCGGGCGAAAACATTAGATTTCTCATGATTAAGGGACGGTACTTTTATGACCATGCACTATCATTATATTTTCCCTTTCGTCCTTCTGAAATGTGTACGCCTAGATACTGCTGCAGAAGTTTAAAAACGGTGTAAAACCGTTCTCACTCATTATCAAATATATCTTTCCTGCATTGGTTTTTGATAGTATACCTTGAAGAGAGATAATGACTTTAAAATAGTTATAAAACAAGTCTGCCAAATAACTTTAATATAAAGTACTGACTTTTACTTACTTAAAAAAGCCAGTGGTATCACGTAGGAGATATAATTGTGACGATAGTAGATGCCCTGGACGTCGTCAGTGCGGCTTCGTGGGCGGATTGGGCTCTCAGTGAATAGATATTCTCATCCATGTACTTCCACTGGGCGGAGTTGGTTCTCAGTGAATATATCGTCTCACCCATGTGCTTTCACTGGGCGGATTCGGCTCTCAGTGAATATATCGTCTCACCCATGTGCTTCCACAGAGGCAATCAGTACAACAGGAAATATGCATCAAAACACGTCTTGTTCCACAAAAAGATTGTAGCGCTAAGGGATGGCAAATACATATTTTAACATGTACTTAAGACATTTGTAGAATTACAGTCGCTTTAGGGAACGGGGAATGTGACACTTTCCATCCTAGTCTCACCCAAAACTCAACTTTACCTTTAGGTCACACAATCTTCCAACAGCTCCAGGCTTTAGTGTTTACATTTCACAATCTTGGAGCATGCTGTTTTAACAAGAGCGTCTTGCCCAGACGTTGTTACAAGTTTACAACTTCAAGGCCCGAGTAATGCTTTTTAAATGTTGTATGGTAGATATGAACGGTAGACATGCAAAGGACTTTTCCCAACTTGACGCATCTGTGACAATAATGAAGTCTGATTCAATTCTCATGCGTTTATGATGATGCCACCGGCGGGTCAGCATACACCCAACGTTTCGCAAACGACAGGTATCGTCACTATTTGGGCGTATTCAGTAACTCATGCTCACGGTACAGTCAAATCATTATAG